CGATCCTCACACATGTTCTGCTGGAAGGGTCAACCAAGATCATCCCAACTTGGACTCTAAAGTGATATGCCAAGCCATCATGCCCATGGTTAAAGCAAGCTCTTATATAGCTGTTGCAGTGTTGATTTCAGCTATACAATAGCATTATAGGTACAATGTCTCCTATAAAAAAGCTTGGTTGGCAAAACAAAATGTCATTGTCAAACTTCATGGAGAATGTGATGCATCGTACAACGAACTTCCAGGTTGGTTTAGGCTGGTACAGACGTTGAATCCTGAGATAATTGTGGACATCGAAACCTCGTATGCATACCATAATAATCGAGTTCTACGCGATCGATGCCAATTCTACCGGATTTTTTGGACTTACCCACAGTGCGTTAATGCTGTCAAATACTGCAAGCCTGTGGTCCAGATTGACGAGACTTTCTTGTATGGAAAATACAAGCAAGTTTTATTATTGGCAGTTGTCCAAGATGGCAATCGCAACATTCTTCCAGTTGCTTTTGCTCTTTTCGAATGAGAAGATACAGATTCTTGGGCTTTTTTCCTTTGAAACTTACGTGCACATGTTGTCACAAGGGAACAAATCTGTGTCATTTCAGATTGCGGAGCTGAGATCAAAGCAGCAATGGAGTCTTTGGGTCCAATGTGGCAACCACCCTTTGTCCAACATAGGTAGTCTCCGACACATTATTGCGAACTACCATGAGAGGTACAAGAATAATGATGAGCGTCAATTAATTGTGCGCATGGGTAAGTGAAACTGATGTAGTTTGTTTTCTTTCGATCATTTTAATTTTGCAAAGAAAGCAAGCTAGTAAGTTATACATTTTTTGATCAGGTTACGAACTACTTCCTCGAACGTTTGAATCAATGCTTCAAGATTTACGGGCGAAGAATGAGGAAGGATACGATTACATCAACCTCATCGATAAAGAAATGTGTACGAACGCATAAGATGGTGGATATCGATATGGACACATGACGACCAACTTGGCTGAGGCAATTAATTCAACCTTAAAGGGTGCACGTCACTTACCTGTAGAGGCTTTGGTAAAAACTACATATTTTTTTGGGGGGCGCTTTTTGTGAAGCTCGGTGGACAAGCTCAAACCTGGTTGCAAGGCGGTCATGTCTATCACCCTAGATTAGTTGCAGATCTACAGAAAAAAATTATTGCATCAAATAGAATGTCTGTATCTGACTTCTCTAGAAGTCATGAAATGTTTTGTATCACAGAGTTGCCGCGACCTCTTCAAGGGATTGAAGTTGTGTCGTTAAGAGTAAATCTACGGGACGGAACGTGCGACTGCGGGTTTTTTCAAGCTCTGAAGTATCCATGCTCTCATGTGATAGCAGCTTGCTCTCATACGCGTCAAGACTATAACCATTTTGTGGATCCCATATACCTACTATCTGAAGTTTATAAGGTATATGAATTTGAGTTCCCCCCATAGGTAATGACAAAGATCCTGATGAGGTTCAGGATTGGCTTCCGATTGTACCAAATCCGAGTTTATTGAGGGAGCGTGGTCGTCCAAAATCCAATCGAATTCATTGCAATATGGATATTTGAGAAAGATCTAGACAAGACAGAAGATGTGGGCATTATAGAAACCCATGACACACTAGAAAAACATGTCCACTTCTGTTGTCATCAAGTAACAATTGATGAGGACATGATGTAGTTGTTTATCAAATAATAATTTTTGTACTTTAATTTGCATTTACTTAAAGTTAATGTCATTCGATAACCATTGATGAACAGTAAAAACGATACAAGAAAACGAGATTGAACGTTGGCGTTATATGTGATTATAATAAAAAGATATAATAAGTGACAAACTGAAGAAAGTTTGAGAACACAATTATTAAATTTTATCAAACTAATAATAATTTGGTATTTGAACATAATTTTAAATACAACAAACTTACAAAAAGTATTAAATGGTAAATGATAACCAAATAACAATAACTGATTTTAAATGATAATAAACAAAATTAACCAAAATACATTAACAAAACTGAATAAAACATTTAACAAAATAAAATTAAAATAAATCCAACCACATTAACGAAAAAATAAGTATTAAATGATAAATAATTAAAAATTACAATAAAAAAGTCCAATAAACAACTAAATACAAATATAATAAAAAACAAAATCTATCGATGCCTGCGATGCGAATGTGTTCCGCAAGACGGTGGTTGTCGGTCTCGAGGAGGATTTCTTCGTATCACTGGTTGTGACTCATCGTTGTCATCACCATCTTCGTTGTCGTCGTCGTTATCCTGAGCAGCTACTTTTTGTTGAGGAGGAGCTGATGACGATCCCACCGGCCTGCGAAAACTGGGAAAACTCATAAAACTCAGACATCACCAAGTGTAAAAACTGTACAGGAGGTGTCTGAGCAGCGGCCATAGGTGATGATGCTATACCCGCCAAATATCCAACATATGAACCCCAAGTATGATCTGCAAACATAAACCCATAATATCCTCCAGGATGGGTCATATAACTCTATGACGGTGGAAGCGGCGGGGTCATATAACTCTGTGACGGTGGAAGCGGCAGGGTCATAAAACCAAGTGGCGATGGCGGCGGCGGAATCGGGTAAGAGAATGGCGGTGGTGGCATCATATATGGCTGCGGTATGTAAGTCACTCGAGACGATGGCTGCTGTGAAGGTCCTGGTGGTGCAGCTGAGGACGAACCGGAAGCACCTGCTCTTCGTCCACGAGTCAGAGGACGATTGTGCTATGTCCGTGAACGTCTCTGTTGACGTCGCTGAAAGGTCCACCCTCGTGCATCCTCAGGAAGCAGAAATGGTTTCCCGTTACTGTTGAACCAGTCATAATAACCGTCAGTAACCATCAAGAGGTCATAAAAAATGGGCTATCTACGGGGAAGGCGCTGATATCGATCCTCCCACAACACGACCTACTCATGATGCCTTACCAGCCAATCTGTATATATCTTGCCACATCGATCTGTGCTATGCAACTTGTCCATATTGCGAGATGCTTCCGGAATTGGTTGAAAACAACCAAATTGCCGGAGCACGCGATCATTGGAGTGCCACTCGACAATCCCATAACAGATCAAAGGGACCATCGCCATCCAAACATCTTATGGGCCCCTCAACTCAGGTGGGATCACCATCCTTACATCATCAATAGAATATGGCACCTATTCAAACTAAAACAAATATATAAATTTTTATCAAAATAATAATCTAATTATATAACTATAATCTAAAATCGATTTTTAAACATTAAAATGCATACCTGTGTGCCAACCTTCTGATCGATTAACACCCTAATTTTTTCTAAATCATCAGGTAGCTCCTGATGATTTTTCCTATCAGTAGACCACCTATTCAAGAAAAAATATTATTATACACTGTATAAAATGATTAATATGCGAAATCAGTTTTATAGTTACCTCAATAGTAGTGGAAATACGAATGGGTTCTTGACAACGGGACATAAAAAGGGCAATCGATACTATGCCCAAGACTGCAGCAGCAGGAGACATCCGTCGATACCATTTTTCTGTAGTCAGTCACTCGACACATCTCCCTATACAGGAAAGCCAAAACTGCCGAGCCCCAACTAAGTGATCCGACCATATGAAAGTCGACAAGATGTTGCAACCACATACAGTGAACTTGGTTACGCGATTTGTCTAGAATTAGCAACCCTCCTATCAGCTGCAGTATGCATGCCCGTGCATATATTTTAACTTCATCATCAGAGGCGTCTGCGCTCAACTCCCGAAAATTGGCATCTAACCAATTTAACGGTATCCGACCATCGTTAAAATTTTTCGGGACACGTCCTAGACTCACCCGGCACAAAGTAGTCCACGAACCGGAATATATCCCTGATATCACACCTCCATCCACCGTAAGCCCCAAGTGCATAGAAACATCCTCAAGTGTAATTGTGCACTCTCCGCACGGAAGATGGAATGTGTGGGTCTCCAACCTCCACCGCTCCACTAAGGCAACAATAAGGTATGGTTCTATCTTACAGTGACCCTCATATCTACCTATGTGACCGAATCCAACCTCTACTAAATATGATATGACACAACCATGTATCACTAACTTAAGGTTCCTAATAAAAGGATCTAATATATGATCTCTCTCCTAAAATATAAATAATTACAAAAATTAATTTTTAAACTAATAATCATGCATTAAATAAATAAATAAATTATTACTAATAATTTAAATTAAATTAAAACGTTAAAATGTTACCGTATCAGCAAAATGTCGAGATATATGATTTATATCCAAGCGAAGCAGACCGCCTTCCATTTTATATCTGTAAAAAAATTAATTAAATACAATATTAAATAATTTAAATACTTAAATAAATTAAATATAAAATATAATAAAATATACCTTCAACAGATAATATAAAAGTATTTGAGAGAGGTAATATAAAAGTATTTGAGAGAAGTTGAGAGAAGTTAAGAGGATTTGGTGTGATGAAAGTGATTGAGAATTGGGGTATTTATAGGGAGGGATGGGGTGTGAACGGTCAGGGCAGGTATGTAATTAAACCTAAGGTGCGCCGCAGGGGCGCTCTTTTCTGACGCGTGTCAGATTTGTAGGTAAGACGCGGCCCCTGCACCGCGCTTTACACACGTGTATCCGAGTCAGCATAAGGCACGCTTCAGGGGGCACGCCTTACCCTACGTGGAGCCAGATCAGAGTAGCGTAAAACGCTCTGCAGGGCGCACGTCTTACTGCAGGGCGCACGTCTTACTGCAAAGGGTGTTATATCAAAAAAAATAGTCTGAAGAATAACTGACAGAGAAAATTAAATGAAAAATGTAATATATCGGGAAAAACGCCCTTAATGATTCATAAAATAGATTACTCACTAATTCGTGAATAGTTTGGGCAATTACTTTGTATTTGAGCCTTTGTTAAGCCTTTAGTCCTTTCAGGTAATTTCACAACAAACATTAATATCGAAAACCCTAGTCCTCGACTCAACTTTGATATCGAAGGTCGAACTTCTAGTGCTCTTCAAGCAAGAGGCGCCACTTAATTCTATCGTTTTTATTTTCAGAAGAAAATTCTGGTTCATTTCACTAACCAATTAACCTAAATTTTCATTCCCCAAAATATAAATTCAAAGTCTCCTTATTTACTACTGTTTTGGAGGGAATCCCAGACCCGATGCATATGTAAAAAGAAGAAGAAAACTAGACGTTTTCTGAAGAATTTTGTTTGATTATGGCTAGTAAGAAGCTGGTTCGAGATTTTTTCATTGCAAGATATCCCCTTACACAACGCCTTTCGTCTCAACGGGTACAAAGCTGCTAGCTTGTTTCTCGAGCAATGTAAAGTTCTGTTCTTATTTTTTTCAAACACTTTTTTTTTTTTAATTTTTTGGTGGTTGTGGGATTTTGATGTTTCAGGGTTCTAATGTAAGACTAAGATTACTGTTTGGAAATGGATACTCGGGCAACCGTCAGTTTAGTGTCTTCAAAGAGTTCTCCAAGAAAATTAAAGGCGAAGCTAGCAGGTGTTTTGAAGCTAGTAATGCTTTTCAATTTGAAAAAGGGAAAAAAACAAGTCTCTTATCTCTCTTTTGATGTGGTATTTTGAAAATTTTGTAGAAATTCGGAATTTCAGCAATCAGTTGAGCAGCTAAAGGGTAAAGCAGAAGAGCTGAAAGTTAGGTAATGTATCTGGTAAAATCGGTTTCGTCCTTATATTAGCATTATTAGGGTTATTAGGCTGAGACATACCATTGTATGTCAAGGGATTGCCTGAGATGGTGAAATGGCCAATGCAGAACGAAGCAGACGACCGAGAAGCTTTACAAACAGGTCGATGGTGCTTGGACTGAGGCCGAAGCTACTGCTAAAAAGGTTGGGGTTCAAATTTATCTTCTCTTGTAATTCTTTCAGGGATTTGATATATAGTGTATTTGCCTCAAACTATATATGCTTACACCATGTTCTTTTCTAAGTTGCTTTTCATTGTAATGCATATTTATGTCAATTACACGATAGGCATTAAGTTATACGTAGCCTTTATTTCGTAATTTTTCTCCAATTCATTTTGTGGAATAAATGTGTAATCGAGCTTAATCAACTAGTTATAGTTTAGAATTTGACCATAGCTAGGGTAGGCTGCTTTGTACAAGAAGCTAAGGATGATTGCTGAAAACCAACCTCCCTAGGATTTTATATTGGTAATTTAGATTCTATATTGTTCATAGTGTAGAATTATTGTTGCTCCATGAAATTACTGTCTTGCTGTAATTTAAATCTTGGGATGGAACTGAGATGTGGAAAAGGTTATCTGTTTTGAATATGAAGCTTTTGATGGTGCTGCTTTCAATGTTAATGATACCTAATTCATATTTGATTGTTATTATGATGTTAGTAGGTTTCTGCCAACATGAAAGAGAAGATTTCAGCTACAAAAGAGGAGGTATTTTTTTTAATTCAAATAGTTGATCTACAATAATGTCTTTGACCGTTTATATTTTATCAAGTTATTTGACTTATGTTGGTTTAGGTTAAGGAGAGTTTTGGGATTGGAAAGGAAGAGTCTTCGCAGTCAACCGATACTTCAGCTCAGCGTTGTGCTAATTTGAACGATGAAGGTCAGGCAACATCCAAGGAAGAGAATTACCAGCAATCTGGATCGGGTGATACTGCAGAAACTGTATTTGGAAAATTTAAGTCTAGCATTTCTTCTCCTAAGGTTTCATTGGCTTTCCAAAGGTTAAAGGAAGCTAAGGTTGTTGATTTAGCAAAGAAGGGTTATGACATTGTTAAAGACGAGTTAAGTGATAACCCAAGTAAGAGAAAGCATCTGGAGTATACAGCTCCTCCCTCATCAACAGGTGAAAGAAGTACAAGAACTGATATTGTTGTTTTTCCATCTAAGCAGTCCCGTTGGAGTAAAAAGTGGGAGGCATTAAAAGAGAAGGTAAGTTTACCGTCGGTGTTGAGTTTTACACAAACCAAATATCACTTAAAAGTTTCATCTATCTATTGCTTGTGTTTCCCTTCTTATTGGATGGATTTTGTTCTCTTCTGCATAGATGCAAGGTCATCCATTATTCAAGCGTGTTAGTGGGATGAGTGAACCTGTAGTGACAAAGGGCCAAGAGGTAAGTTTCCAACCTATGCTTTTTTTTTCATCCCCACTGCCCTTACAGTTCTTTTACTTATTCTGGTTATTTCCTATTCTTGAGCGTCTCAATTTGTGAAATACAATTTATATTGAACTGGCAGATAGCAGAGGATGTGCGTGTAATATGGGAGACCAGTGATAATCCCGTTGTTCACAAAATTCAGGAGTATGCAATAGATTCTTCTTGTGTTTTATTCTTTTTCCATGCTATGCTTCTAGCAACTTTTCAACATAAGAATTAGAAAGTAATTTATGTGATGTTTTGGATGCTGATTTCGTTATTCTTGATTTGACAGTATAAACGAGAGTATCTTTCAAGAAACAGATGCTGCAGCATCGTACAAAGAAATACGCCGACGAGATCCGTATTGTCACCTTCAACCGTAGTTTATTTTTGCTTTGGTACTTAAATGTTCCGTTTCTTGATCTATGGAATTCTTTGGTGCATGGAGTAGGTCATTCTCTTTGCCAGAGTTTGTGGCAGAAGTTCAAGAAGCAATTAGACCGGTCCTTAATGCATATATAAAAGTAAGGGATTTTTCTGGCTTATATTCTAGAATTTTATATTTTCAAATGAAAAGTGTCTCGGGTAGTGGCAGCCTCTATAATATATAAAACTTTATACGCACAGGGAGATGTTGAAACTTTGAAGAAGTATTGTAGTCCTGAAGTTATTGATAGGTGCAAAGCTGAACATACTGCTTATCAGAGCCATGGTATATTTTTCGATAACAAGGTAAGACCGACAATTCTATGTAAAGCTGTAAGCCCTATTATATGGGACATGATAAGGTGGTCATAAATAAGTAAGAAAACATGTACCTTTAATAATCAAGTGTGGTTATAAATTATCACGGCCTTGAATATGTCAGCTTGCAGATTGCAGTAGGGATTATTGGGTTGTAAATGTCATGTTGAATTATATTCTTGATATGAAATGATGTTTACTAATTTCACCTAATTTTGCTGCAGATTCTACATATATCTGACGTCGAAGTTAGAGAGACCAAAATGATGGGGACGTCCCCCATTATCATAGTGGCAGTATGAGTTTCTTATTCTTTTGCTTCAATTTCTATCTTTCTTGATTTAAGCATTCTAAGGTTTTTGAAACTGATGCTGGTGGCCTATTTACTTTCGATGTTCACAGTTTCAAACACAACAGATCCACTGCGTACGGGATAGAGAGGGTAAAATAACGGAAGGCGGGAAGGTAAATGAAAGTTCAATTTTCTGTTTTTTATGCTGTGCCATGACATGTAAGGTTTGTAAAGTAATGGACGTGAATAACTTGAGACATAAGTAATTCTATGCACCTGTGGAAGATGTCTTATGTTCATATACCTTTGAAGAGATTCGTATTGCGTAACATGAACCGTATGTTGATCCTAATCTTCTAAAACTGCCTCGCTAGGATACAATTCACACCGTGTATTATGCATGGGCCATGCAACAAGTGGATGTAGAAGAACTCGGAGAGGGTGCCCTCTACCCAATATGGAAGCTTAGAGAAATGCAACAAATGGGTGTACAAGCCCTTATCTAGCTCGATTTACAGTCAATATCATCTCTTATTAATGGATATTTTACGATTTGAACCCCCTGCGCCGTCCTCTGATATATTTTTTTTCTATTGCTCACCTGGGTTTTGTTCGTTTCTTCTCCAGGGAGAAATTAAGTTGATAAATAATTTTTATTATTTTCAGCAAATAAATGAATTTTCAACAAGAACGCTTATATTAATTTATTTCCAGGATCAGGTTTGCCCGATATTCTTGATTGCAGTTAAATGTTCGTTTGATGGATGTTTAAACTTCACCAGCAAATTTTGTGATCATGTATAACATATTTACTTGATAGCAATGTCATATGAAAAAACATGAAATGATATTAATACATGAATGTGACATATAAATAATACTATTAAAATCAAAGAGACGAAGCTAGTTGTTTGAAGCTTGCTGAGAAGCAGCTTTCAACTATATAAGTTCGTTTACTCTGTCATTCGACATTGCAACATTATGTACCGCAATTCAGTTTGATCATCTTGAAAAAGTAGAGTTCAAAATCTACAGAATAACATCTTCCGCTGCAGATCGTTTCGAGACAACCCTAAAAGTGGGCATTAAAGCTTGGGGGAGGCCGAGAAATAATTCATCAGATTGAAATTCGTTTCAAAATGTGACTTCAGGATCATCATCATAGTCGAAATTTGATTCACTCTAGTGTCTGTCTCTTAGCTTCTCTAGCTCTTCCCTTCTTTGGCCTTCCTCTGTGAAGAACACGGACATTAGTTTGTTGGGGGATTAGAATATCTTTAAAGCATTTGCAAGTGTCCTTAGTTATTGGTTTCAAGCGTTTCAGACCAAGGTAAATTTTACAATTTAATGCACTTACTGCCCATTGGCAAAGTAACCTCCACCCTTAGACCGACATGCGCCGCCGTAGTACGATTTCCCATCTACCTAACACAAAGTAACAACAAACAATAAAACATTAAGAAAGGAAATTTGTTGATGCACCTGCATGTTACAGGCTCACCGTCTCTACCAGCGGCAACATCTTCAGCCTGAAAAAGCAAACAATAGCAGAGGAAAATTCAGTTTGAGAAACTAGCTAGTGAGTGGTTCTGAGAGAGAAAAAAAGTTGTAGACACCATATTTTTTTTTATCGATCCAGAAAAATTAGCTGCAGCAAACACTAAATAACTATTTTAATGAAAAATTCATCTTTCATGAAATTCATGACAATTTATTCCTACATTAATGGTATCCATCATCACAACTGATGACATATTTGGAAGGGAGAAAGGTGCTGTATTTTGACGATGGTCTTACTTAAGTCGGCAATTTATAGTTCCATTTCGGAAACATTTAGCAGCAACTGCAACACAATTCTTGCATAAAGTTACATTTAGTTGACCAGCTTCTCAGCAGATGCTAGAATGGTTGTCATGCATTCTGCCTCTGAGCATGCAATTCAATGCAAAAAGAGAAACATAACCCAACAGTTCAACACCAAACCCGCAAGCTAAAACAAATTAAGAAACCAGAGATAGACACTAAGCAAAAGCCATCTCATCCATATTCTAAATTCCGCATCCGATTACTGATCACATGCTTTCAAACTCCAAATGCAACCCACATAACAAACTGTTGGTTCAAATGTTGCTTATCGTACGAAACGTTTAGAAATGAGAGCTGCGACAGCCGAAACTGTCAGTACGATCAAAATCCGAATATATTTGGGCATAAAGAACTGACAGGGTTCGGATATCGGGCCGGGTTTTTAAAATGGGTGATGACGGCTTAGATTTGACCTTTTTGATATTGCTAGCGTTAATTTCCGATCATGTTACTTTCCATTTTTTTCATATTATTACTTAATTAAATATGATTTACATGATTTATTAATAAATCATATATGCATCATAATGATTAATGTATTAAAAAATACTACATAAAATAATAATAGATGGGGTCTTCTAACCCTCCAAATCCAACTGCCTCCCTTTTTAGTAGGCTGATTTATGTGAAGTCTAGAGGTAGTAGTATATCTTATTTAATTAATTTGTATTTATTAGGTGGAATAATAAAAAACAAAAAATATCGCAAATTTTGTACTTTTGAAAAAATCAATGTCGTTATCGTGTTATTTTTTCTCTTAATATGTCCCTTCAACTCAGAAAATAAATAAAATGTGACCCTTTGACCAGCGTTTTTCGTCGTTTGACTGTTATGGTGCTGACGTGATAGTTTACGATGCTGACATGATAGTCCACAATATTAACGTGACAGTCTATTTGTCATATTTGAGTTATTAATTTAGCACATATGATGATATACAATATAAACTTTGTAACAATTAATTCAATTGATATATAAACCTTAAAAACTCGAAATATAAACTAAGTTTAGCAAGACGAATAGTCTTAATTGCATAATCTTAAACTTTTCATTTTTTCTCTCACAAACTACAGGTTGTGAGTTGGAAATATATATGTGATTTATCTAGTAGATGTATCTACTGAAATCATATCAAAGTTTTCTACTTTGTAGATAAATAGAGCCATATTTCAATCAGATATGCAAGACATTCGATGTCAACTTTAACTAGTAACGTTCTGAATTCCTTTTGAAAACAAATAACATAAGAACTTCTGGTTCTTTAAATTTATGTAAATTTCAATAATTTTCGCATCATTACTGAATGAGATGGTCTAACCAATCATGTAAACTAATTAAAATCTTAAACTTGTAAACTTATGGTTTACCATAACATGTGATTCAATTTTATTCATACAAACTTGTAAACTTCTGGTCTACCATATGAGTTTAATCTTATTAAAAATTGTAAACTTCTGTAATTAATTAAATTCAATACTAAGTGCATACCTTAATGAAAGTATGAACTAGAAATATACCACGTATTCTAACGTATGGGTTATCAACTCCCATTCTCATAAACTTCCCCTCTATCTGAAAATTACATAATTGTTAATAAATAATTATATATACAATTTAACAATATGTAGTCAAAAGAAATGTATGCATTAAATCAATTTTCATATCCATCTCATACTCTGTTACCTTTGCAATCTACATATTTCTAGGAAGCAATAAGTAATTAACTAGAATAATATAATAATAAATTAAACTTTCAATTGTGAGCACATCCTCCATGTCTTTTGTTGTGACCATGACTATGGTCACATCCACTACCACAAACACGGCTGTTAAAGTGGTCTTTACATTTTGTTATAAGATGTCACATTCACTACAAGGAATGGAGTAAATCAAGTAGGATAGGACTCATAATTTTTCATTAATAGTTCATTATTTCACTCAATTACAAGAAAACAAAATACTAACTCAAAATACTTTTTAAAAAAATTTTCACGATACTATGTCTGCAGGACATTATTATTCGAATAAAAAAAACATTTAGCTCTTCTGGAGCTTTCAATGAATTTGACACTTACAATATTGAGAAACATGACCAACAAATATAAACTATAGTAAGTGTACCTGAAGATTATTAACAATGTGATCACCACCATAGTTGTTCTTACATGGGTTATCACAAACACTAAAATAATTTCCCTTTCACCGTATAATCATAATCAAAGAATATTTGTAAAAACATCAAATCTCATAAGTAACAATATAAAAAATACTAATAAATAAATAATTTTTATCATTTTACCTTTTATTATCTATCTCAAGAACCGTCATAAAAGATAACAATAGTATTCAATCATTATAAAACAAAAGCAGATTCATACATTCATGCCATCATTATTACTAACAAAGTTTGCATCTTTGTCAAAGTAAAATATTCAAAATTGATAAATGTAGACTTTTTAATGCTTACGCTTCTCGAAAATTGAAAATATTCTAAAGATGTGCTCGACTTACTAACAAAGATTTGGTAAAATAAGAGAATTTTGTTGCGAGAAGATGTATAGAAATTGTATAAATAATAATAATAGAAAATATACTTATCTAGGATTGTGGTTGATAGAGTATAGTTGGTATATGTTATTGTTATAATTTGTTATAACTGCCTTACAGTTGGGTTGGTTAGGCCTATACTAATATTTGTTGGACTGTTTAACATAAATACCCAATTAGATTCGTTTGTATGATGGGATTTTGTATTTTGAATATAGAAATCAGATGTGGTTGACTTCTTTGACTCTCTTTCTCTTTGTTAGTTCTTTAAACAATTGCTTCGTGTTTCTGTTATCTCCCTCCGATAATCGGAGTTCTTCATGGTATCAGAGTTGTTTCTGGCCATCTTGCTTTCTTATTGTCGCTTGTTGACAAATGTGTCTCTCAGTCTATGGATTGCTCATTTGGTTGATCGGTTCTGGGCGATTGGAGGTTCTTGATGAGAATTGTTGTTGATTCGAGCGTTTTATTAGTGAATCCTATCAAATCTGGTCATATTCTACCTTTCGCCTCTTTTAATTTGTGATCTCTCTGCTCGGTTTCTTGCTTGCTTCTGTTGCGACTGATTCTTCCCTAAGGTTGACTTAGTTCTTCTGCAATTGTGTGATTTCGCTCGTTTGGTCGTCTGTTTGTGTTTTTTATCTCTTTGCTTAGGGTTATTCTGTTGTTCCTTCTTTATGGCTATTACTTCTTCATCTGATCAGAGTCAATGTGAGGTTGGTAATCACAACTTCTCTCAGAGACTATTCTCGACTAAAAAAATTAATCTAACCTTAGATGAAAGCAACTACTTGTTGTGGCATTAACAAGTTTTTCTTACAATTAAAAGACATAGGTTGCTTAAGTGCATTGACAGTAAAGTTACTCCTCCTGAGCATGTGAATCATGATGGCCAAATTAGTATAAATCTTGATTTTGAGTTTTTTGAAGAGCAACACAAAATGTTTCACCCGAGTCTCATGTGGATGTCACTCCTCTTGCCACGCATGTCTCCCCTATACACGAAGAAGGTCACGACTAGATAGATGAATATCTCAGCTCCTCCTCCTCTTCTTCTGAGAACACTCAAGAAATTCTGTCAGAATTCTTTGATGATGATTTTATCCCATTCCCTGACCAACCTACTCCTGAATAAGTATCTGAACAACCCCCTGATATCAATGTTGAACCAGCTCTTGACCCTGAAGCAAGCCAATCTCAAGACGTTCATGCTAAGCCCACGCACACTGAGGAGATGCCATCACCGGCTAGTCCCCAGAGTACGCGGCGTCGTATCAAGCGAACAGATGATCGTCTTGCTAGGCCATCTCTTTCTTCAGTTCCTTCAAGAGATACTGGATTCGAAAGCCCCCTCCTCTCTAACGATGTAGAACCCGCACGTCTAGTCAAGCCTCTCCACCACATTGAGGTAATCTTTCTTTCATTTGCATTTACATTAGCATTTTAGAGTAATTTTCATTACATTCGTATTCATGCATTGAGGACAATGCATCCCTCAAGTTTGGGGGAGGTGTTGTACTCCATACTTAATTTTTGCATTTCTGATAATAATTGGTTGAAATATTTATTGTCATGGAATGAGTTTTATTAGGATAGTTGTTGGAAAAAGTTGACAATGCCCGATGATGAAAGCAAATTTTATTTCCAAGGCCAAAATTATTTTACATGACTATTGAAGGCTATAACCGACCTTAGGACTTAATTCTTAGTGACTCTTTAAACACGATTGTATGTTTTCTCGGCTTAAGGTGCTTAGAAAATTTTTAGGAAAGAATTTTTTGCGCGTCGTGGCATTAAATGTTTAAAAGGCTAAATTGAACTCCTTGTTGTTTTGAATTGTGTTGAATTGCAAATAAATGCCTCGACATAATTGTAGAGGGACGCTCTTCTGTGCGATGGCATGACCTGGAAAAATCCCTTAAATAAATGGTTGCCTCAGCATATGAGTGAATGAAAGTAGTCACGGGATGACTCTACCTGACTAGCTCGGGGTGAAAGGTGTGCTCCCTTTCACCTAGAGTGTGGGATGGTAGTTGTGATGAGCTGACTCTCCTTGAAGTTTGCTTTAAAAAAAATTGAAGTTACATGTTGAATAAATAGAAGTGAAACTATGCTTAATGAATAA